AACCGCTCAGGATCCCTGCTCCGCGCCCGCCCCGCAACACCGAGGTCCCACTGACTGAAGAGGACCAGGCCTGTAGTGAGGGTTTCTCAGAGCGGTGGGAGTGCTGCAGCTCCCATGCCCATTCAGCGACAGCCCGTGGGCTGAGCGCCACTGAGAGGCTCCGACCCAGCCACCGGTTAGTCAGGGTGCTCTGACAGAGATAACAGCCATTTCTTCGACAGCGATTCAGAGTCTCCCAGCAGTCGAAATTGCACAGGACTGTCACTTATGTGCCTCTTGCCCCTGTAAAGCCCAGTTCAGTCACTGGCATCGTAAGGGCAGGGTCAGTTCACCATGTTAGGAAACCACTGACAGACCCTCAACATGTCCCTGGGGCAACAGCCCAGCAGTGATAATCGAATGTTCTAGGTCAGCACTGTCCAACATGTGTGGCTACTCAGCACACCAATGTGTCCAGAGTGGCCACAGAGATAGATTTTAAATTGCATTCCATTTTACTTAAATTGAAATAGCCCTAGAAGCTAGAGGACCAGGGAGAGGGCCTCATCATGGTAAGCAGGGGCCAGTGGTGGGCTGAGGCAGCAACTGAGACAATGTGAGAGTACGGCCAAGCCGCAGTGGCACAGGTGATGGGGTGCTTCTCTGCAAAGCTAGAGCCACATGGAAGGCCGGAGTTCAGGTCCTGGGTCAACCTGAAACGCTGGCTGGCTGGGGCTGTTGGCAGGGGTGGTGTCACAGTGTGATGAGGCCTGTCGTGACAAGTGGCCATCTGTCTGTCTCTCTCCTTCTCTCCAAAAAATAAAACAAAAAATTGTTCTAAGAAGAGAAAAGTTTACTGAGGTGTGAGCTGGTGGCCTGGGCAGCCTTGTCTCAGGTCAGCACCCCACACTCTGTGGGTGCCAAGGTGCCGGCCCAGCATAGCAGAGGCCAGCAGCAAAATGACCAAAGAAAGAGGAAGGAGGAGAGGTGACAGACAAAGCAGGGCCACACCTGAACTGCCTCCACTAAGAGCTGAAGGTGCCCGGGGTGCACGTGATCTCTGTGGACACAGACAGCGACAGACTCAGCCAGCCCACGGCGGGGCAGGGCTCTGCTCACCATCTCCCACTTGACAGCACTGTGGGGACCACTGACCCAGCTGCCAAGTGGCGATGAGCCATGAAGGGGCGACCGCAGGAGCTGCCGATGAGCCGCAGTGTCCAGTGAGCTTGGGCATGTGGACACGGCCCCTGTCCCGGAGGCCTTGAGAAGCCCTATCTGGGAGCCCCGGAAGAGGGATGGGCAGGGCCTGCAATCTGGGACTCGGCGAGAAATCTGGGCACCGAGCCATCCTCGCAGTTTAGGCCCAGCCCAGACTCCAAAGCCCACTGACCAGAGCACGCGGATGGTCCTTACCACATCCTGCAGGTGCGAGGGTAGTCCTCGTTCCTCGAGCTCACGCCCACGGGCAACACGAACGGCTGCCCCTGCCCAGACTGGACATCCTGCTGGGCCGCGGCCCCTCCATCCCCACCTTCCTTGGCAGCTTCCTCAGGCTCTCTGGCCGACGGCTCCATGCTGGGTGAGGCAGGGTCGGGCTGCGGCTCCCAGGGGCTCTGGTGGCTGTGGCCCTCACCCCCCTCATGGCCCTCCTGGCTGCCCTCCTGCCGCTGCTGCTCCAGGCGCACCCGCTCGCGGACCTCCAGCACAACCCTAGAAAGCTCGTTGAAGTTGCGGAGATTCTCCACATCAGGCAGGTGGATGCGGTGCCTCAGGTCGACCTCCACCGTCTGCTGCCCTGCGGGGATGTTGGGGTCACCCTGCAGAGCAGGCAGCAGTGGTCAGCAGGTGCGTGGATCTGGCCCCGGTTCGCCTCTGACTAAGCCCTCATGAAGCCAGAGCACATCAGAGCAGGCAGTCTTGCCTGGCAGGGGGTCTCTGGCCACAGGGAACAGGGCATCCACCAGTCACAGAGGACTCTCGGGTGGGAACTAGCCCATCTAAGACTGAGGACCTCCCTAGGGTCTGGCGGGGCAGGACCTCCCTATGCTGAAGGGCAGCCCAGATCCCTCTGCCTAGGGAGCCAAGATCCTGAGCCCATGCCCAACCAGACACTCCAGCTCCATGGTGCCAGGCGAGGCCCTAGATCCTGCCTCATTCCACATGGAGCTGCCCCAAGGCAGAGGGCCTACCAGCCCCCAAGGCTCAGACTCCGGCTTCTCCCCCAGGACGCCTCAGTGAGTCTGCAGAAACCACCCAGTGACCACGAGGGGCCCACAGTGCTGTGTGGCTGTGAGTGCTCATGCCAGTCAGGGCAGGAGAGTGACCAGCATGGGGCTCACACGTAGCCCATGGTGCCTGGGCCCTTTCTTGTGAGCTGCAGACGCCACATCTGCTGAGCAGGAGTCTCCACAGAGCACCCTTCCGAGCCACCCTGTTACACCAGCCCCTCTGGGGAAGGGCCTAGCAGCCTCAGTTCTGAAACCTACCTGCAGCCACCACGAGTGTGCGGGCTGAGCACTATGTGGTCTGGCCACCTGCATGTATGTAGCCCTCAGGACCCAGTGCAAACATGGAGTTGGGCCAGGGAGGCTGGGCAGCAGGCCGGGAGCCCTGTGAGCAGCCAGGGTGCCCTCACGCACGTGAGGTACAGGGCATCACAGCCCCTGATGGGAGTCCACCTGTGCGGGCCCCCCACACGGCCCGGGACAGCATGGTGGCCTCACCGTGATCTTCGTGCCCCTGGCATGTCTGCCGTGGAAGCTGAGCATCACGATCTCCAGGCCGTGGCTGCCGTAGGTGCCTTTGAAGAGGCCAGGCTTGATCAGGTCCTCTGGGTGGCTGGGTGGGAGGTAGATCCGGCGGTAGGTCAGGCAGTTGCTGCAAGGGAGAGGTGGTTAGCACAGGGGCCACACGGGACAGGCAGGAAGGCTATGCTATGCAGGGCTGGGAGGTGACTGGCTCGGCTGAGCCTCAGTGGGCACTCCGGCCTGGGCGGCACCCATGCTGAGCCACTCAGCCCAGCAGAGGGCAGGCACAGCACATCTGCTCTCAAAGGTAGACAGTTCACAACAGCACAGCGCTTCCGAGAGGAAGGGGACTCCACTCAGGAACTCCTGCCCTGGGGAAGGGAGACAGGGCACTGGAAAGAGGAATACTGCACAGGCTGAGAGGGGTCCTGGGGACACACCCATGCTCAGAAAAAGGCCAAGAAACAGGCCTCCCAAGCTGCCTGGCTGGACAGACACACATGGAACTTATGGTAGGCAGTGACAATGAATCAGACAGAAAGTGAACGCCAAGTTGGGCAGGGCAGGGGGCTGTGCTCGCAGCACCCGCCAGGAGGGAGGGGGCCTCACTCACAGCACCCGCCAGGAGGGAGGGGGCCGTGCTCACAGCACCCGCCAGGAGGGAGAGGGGCCTCACTCACAGCACCCGCCAGGAGGGAGGGGGCCGTGCTCACAGCACCCGCCAGGAGGGAGAGGGGCCTCACTCACAGCACCCGCCAGGAGGGAGGGGGCCGTGCTCACAGCACCCGCCAGGAGGGAGAGGGGCCTCACTCACAGCACCCGCCAGGAGGGAGGGGGCCGTGCTCACAGCACCCGCCAGGAGGGAGAGGGGCCTCACTCACAGCACCCGCCAGGAGGGAGGGGGCCGTGCTCACAGCACCCGCCAGGAGGGAGAGGGGCCTCACTCACAGCACCCGCCAGGAGGGAGGGGGCCGTGCTCACAGCACCCGCCAGGAGGGAGAGGGGCCTCACTCACAGCACCCGCCAGGAGGGAGGGGGCCGTGCTCACAGCACCCGCCAGGAGGGAGAGGGGCCTCACTCACAGCACCCGCCAGGAGGGAGGGGGCCGTGCTCACAGCACCCGCCAGGAGGGAGAGGGGCCTCACTCACAGCACCCGCCAGGAGGGAGGGGGCCGTGCTCACAGCACCCGCCAGGAGGGAGAGGGGCCTCACTCACAGCACCCGCCAGGAGGGAGGGGGCCGTGCTCACAGCACCCGCCAGGAGGGAGAGGGGCCGCACCCTCACAGCGCCCCCTGGACAGGCACACAGTGCCCAGGGAGGGGAGGGCTACACCAGGGGCCGCCAGGACAGGGCTGTGTCCTTACTCGTACTGACTGGTGTAGATGAACTTCATAAGGATGAGCTCCTGCATGTGCTCATGGAAGATGTCCTCGAGCGTGCGTCCCCACTCTTCCCTCAGCCACGTTCGGAATTCCTTCCAAAAGAACACGGGTTATGAACATCACCAGGAGACAACAGCAGGAAGAGGCCACCAGCCCAGCTGCTGCATGGACGAAGTGGGGTCTGTCCAGGTGGAATGGGAAGGAGGGGCGCAGAGTAAGGAAGGGGGCCCCACATCTGGGGCTGCTGGGCTGAGATGCAGATGGCTCCGCCCTTGTCTTCCCGAGGCACACAGGCTCTGAGTGCTGGTGGGAGATGGAAGGGCCCTCTGGGGCGAGGCCAGGGCCACAGTCCACGTCCAGACAACAGGCAAGAGGAGGACACAAACGTCCCAATCACGGCAGGACAGAGCGACACCAGGACCAGGTGGGCTCATGGAACCAACGTGGCATCTCGATGCTCCCAACACAAGGCCCTTCCTCGCGGCTGCTGCCCCTGCGGCGTCCTACATGGGCTTCCAGGCACCCCTGGGTCAGCCCATGTCCACCCTGGCCACGCAAGGCCAAGGCGACCTGGAGCCATCACTGGGTGGCTGTGAACTGTCTAGAGATGATGCCATCACTTCCATACAACCACGTGGGAAAAACTGATCACAAGCCACACTTCACCCCAGAGAAGAGGGGGGCCGAACGCTGCTGGGTGTCTGGAGGGAACGAAGTCCAGGCGAGCGGCATGAACAGCGGTCACATTGCGCCGGACACTGCACACACTCTCAGTCACACTGAGCCGGGGGCTCTATGGGGGACACTGCTGCTCGGTCTAACCTGCGTTCGTCTCTGCCATGGCTTGACTGTGTTCCCCAAGTTCACACGCTGGAGACTTGATCCCTGGTGTGGTGGTACTGGAGGGGCAGGACCTCCGGGAGAGGGAATGGCCACGAGGGCCTGCTCTCGCAATGGATGAGCGCGGAAGGGTGGGTTCGTCACCAAAGGTGAGCTCGGCCCCTCTGCTCACTGCATCCCGCATGTGTGCGCATTCCCCCCTTCCTGCCCTCCCACCTCCCACTGTGGGGTGGCCAGCCTGGCCTTGAATGTCCCAGCCTCCAGACTGCAAGGAAACGCACTCTGTTCCTGTGGGGCTTTCTTAGAGCAGCATGAGACACAGTACACGTTTCTTTGGGGGCAAAAAAATATGAAAGCCATGTGTAGTTTTTATAACGCGGACTTTCTTGGATTTTCCAAAGTCTCACGTGTGCTCAGTAACACATGGTCAGCCGAGAAAGCCCCGTGCCCCACTGAGGAGTATAATTTGGATATTTCCCACCAAGAGCATTCATTATTACCACACTTATCATCAGAAAAAAAACAGTTTAACTCATCTCCAAATCAGTGAGAGCAAGCAGCACGGTGTTTAAGGCTCTGGACTCCCACATGGCCGACTACAGTTCAAGTCCCAAGCCTGGTGGTTTGCTTTCTCACTTTCCCTCTCTCTCTTAGTCTCTGCGGTGAGTACACATGCCCTAAGGCAAAATTTAAAATAATAATAATAATAATAAAATTAAATAAATAATTCTAAAAATGAATCAATCACCGAGCCCATACATGGGGTGGCTTACAGGAACCTTCTCTGATCCCAAGTACATCTCACCACAGAGACATTATATGGCTTTCTTAATTTTTAAAATTTTTCTTTTCAGAGATTTGTGCTATAGAGCATGTGCACTCACTGGAGAGACAGAGGCAGAAAGTGAAAAATCACCCCCTGGGGGGGATGGCCATGCCCATTATTACCACACTTATCATCAGAAAAAAAACAGTTTAACTCATCTCCAAATCAGTGAGCTCAGGACCAGCAAGCAGCACGGTGGTTAAGGCACTGGACTCCCACATGGCCGACTACAGTTCAAGTCCCAAGCCTGGTGGTTTGCTTTCTCACTTTCCCTCTCTCTCTTAGTCTCTGCGGTGAGTACACATGCCCTAAGGCAAAATTTAAAATAATAATAATAATAATAAAATTAAATAAATAATTCTAAAAATGAATCAATCACCGAGCCCATACATGGGGTGGCTTACAGGAACCTTCTCTGATCCCAAGTACATCTCACCACAGAGACATTATATGGCTTTCTTAATTTTTAAAATTTTTCTTTTCAGAGATTTGTGCTATAGAGCATGTGCACTCACTGGAGAGACAGAGGCAGAAAGTGAAAAATCACCCCCTGGGGGGGATGGCCATGCCACAATCCCTTCTCCTCCATTCTCTGCTCGGAATTTTGGGTATGCACGCACACATGCCTGGTGAGTTTGAAGCCACCACTCGTGACTCGTGACCCAAACCACGGTGACTACGTGCGAGTCCAGAGACGCAACCACTGCGCCACCTGTGGCCCCTGCAGCTTTCCTGATTAAGGTCTGAGCAACAGAGCAGCTTCGGCTCAGAAAACGTGCTGGCAGCTTCCACTTAAACGTGAGCTGTAGCACTGAGCTGTACAGCAATCGTGCCGTGTAGTGGAGTTAAAAGGACCCGTCTCAGGGGAGAAAAGCCCAGCATCTCCACCTTGGACACCTCTACATGTCATCTATTTGGGAAGCCAGACGTGGTTTACTGTCAAGGAAGTCCAAGAAGTTCATGCACTCTATTTATCCCACCTCTCCCTACGCTCTCCGCCTAATGGTGGAGCTCAAACCTGACCAAGAAGTGCACAGACCCAACACGTACACACAGCTACAACGAGCAGCCCGTCTTTACAAGTTCCAGGTCGTGCTGAAAGTATTTTGAAATGTCAGTATGACTTCAGACTTTCAGAGGCAATGAAAGGTCACTTGTGCCAACAACAGGAAACCAGACCTGCAAGCTGACCCACTGCACCACCGCCACCACGTAGAAACCTCGAGCAGGTCGGTCTGCGGGAGGGAGAACAGGGGCTCCTGACACAGCTCTCCCAGTCCTCTGCCTCCAGGCTGTCCCTCAGCACAGGAATGCACCCGGGGGGCAAAGGAGAACTAATTAAGGAACCGCCAGGCTGTTTCATTCACTGTGGAGTGGTAGGGCACAGCCTATGCGCACACCTACCACAGGAGTCTGGTTCTGAGCAACTACCAGACGCAATTCTGCACTGATGGCTTTGGGCTGCACAGCACGGGATGGCTGTTTGACCACGGGCACTTTCAGACTGTACAACCTCTCACGTCTATGCCGTGACCAACAGGAGGAAGGCCAGGTCGGCACTCCATGGGACGGAGATCCACGTGAACAAACGACTGGGCATGTGTGTCGGGGCAGGGTCCTGCCTCGCAGGGCATGGGCTCACCTCCTGCCGTCCTCCAGACATCCTGTGGTGGTCCGTCTGGTTGCACTTGGTGGAGAACTCGTCCTTTTTCACAATCTTCAATGTTTGCGACGGGAGGGAAAAGGACAAGACACCCCGAGTTAGCCACATCAGACGGGGCAGCCGGGACCACATCTCCCTCATCTATACCCCAAGCCCTCTGCAGACACCCGGGACGGCGAAGCCCCAGCCCACTCTCACACCTTGCGTGTCTGAGGGACCCACACACCTGGACATGGCCGTTGTGAGGCCCTCTGTGGCCGTACATGCACTCCACCGTGGCGGCCTTCCTCTCCATCAGGTGGATTCTGAACAGAGGCTTGAATCTCATTGGGTCGTCCACGTGAGGGTCATGGGGCGGCAGGTACATCCAGCCGATGATGAACAGGCCGTCCACCTGCAGTGGCGACAGAGGGCAGGGGCTCGTCTGCAGGTCTGGATGGGGCGGAGCAGCAGCATCCGCGGGGCCCACCCCATCTGCGCACACGGCCCACAGAGATCCCCGCTCACTAGATACCTGTCAGTGTGCAAAAACAGACCCGAACCCACGCGAGGACTTCAGAACTACCTCCCAGCTCCGAGGTTGGGGGCGCGGGGTTAGGGAATGGGCTAAGTGACACCAGAAACGGCAAACAGAATAGCCCAGAAAGTGTCCCAAGAAGGCAACTAAGGAGGTGGAGAAAAGACAGGGTTGCTGCTTTCCACAGAAAGTAGAACCGTGGGACAAAGCAACAGACGCAACACGAGGGCCTTGTCTGGACCCTGGCTTGAACAGACCAAGGGTGGAAGGTGGTTCTGAGACGGCCACAACTTAAACCCGGCTGGAGAGCCGCACGGCTGCTATTCTAAGATGTGCCCTGCAGAAAACACCCTTGTCGCCCCCAGGCGGGTGAGATGCCCCAGGCTTGGCCGCTTCGGATGCTGCAAAAGCATCTGAGGGAGGGAGAGGAGGAGACCAAGGACTCAAACCTGGGAGTGGGGCTTGGGGGACATCCCACAGCGTTCTTGTGTTTGCAGCTTCGAAGGAGGGAAAGCAAAAGCAGACAGGCCCCAGCCTGGCCATCGCGAGATGCAGGAGCGTTCTTGCAGAGGGCTCACCCGTGAGGAAGGGCCCAGGACCCCCCACAGCCAGTTCCAGTGGCCAGGAGGCAGGAATGGAGCCACCCATCAGCGCACACCGGCACTGTCCTCCGGGCTCTGCGCTCCCTCTTCCTGCTCCGAGGAGCCACTGTCTATTGTTCCTTTTACCAGATTACTCACTGCCAGTAAGACAAGCAATTACCGCCCTCCTGGCTAAAAGAAAGCGGGGAGTCTGCCCACGCTGCGAGCCGCTGCCTGGTCTTCTCCAGGAGGAAACACCCTGAAAGCAAGGCTTGTCCCCGTGACGTTGAACGCAGCAAACGCCAGCAGGCTCTCAGTGGGGTGATTCTGCCAAATCACAGAAAAGCAGCCATGCTTCTCTCTACCGAAACCCCCGCTGGTAAGCAAACCTCATGGGGTCCCAGCCACCTGGGCAGCCCCCACACCAGAGTGGGAGAACCCCCACAAGGCTGCAGGCCCAAGGCCACCTCGGGGCAGGCATACTGCTAGGAATGAGCACAGCTGGGTCCTGACTGGGCTCCTGCCACAGGCACAAAGACAGGAGCAAAACGAGGAGGTTTTTACTGTGGCACCAGCAGCCGTGGCACCCTGGGGACAGGTGCCTAACAGAGTTCACCAAGACCTAAGCAGACTCACCCCAGAGCTGGGGAAAGGAAACGAATTCAGCCCGCCAGGGGCACCCGCCATACTGCACAGAGCTGCCAACAGCATGTCCTCGCTCACAGCGAGTGCCCGGAGCTCACCAAGGAAGGTCAGGCCACCTCCGTGTCACACAGGCCAGATCGTGAGCAGCTGCTTTTCCAAATAAACAGACAAGTGCCACGAAGCACACACAAGCTAACACCACAGAAGGGTTTGGCCTGGCTCTGGCCAAGGGCCTTGTGTCAACCCGCTCTCCTGCTGGGCCCAGCCACAGAGGCTGGGTCACTAATGCAGTTCAAAAACATCAGTCATGAAGGGTGATCAGAGGTGAGACCCCAGATCCTGAAAAGAAGAGACGAGTGAAGGGAGCAGAGGGCCCATCCCTTGAGGAAGGGACTCCCGGCGGCTGGAGTCCTGCGGCTGGAGCCCAGCCTGTGGGCTCAGGGCTCTGCTGGAGCAGGGAGCAAAGCGCTCAGCCCTCCCTGCAGGGTCTGCCCTCGGGCACCTGCTGAATCAACTGCTGTGAGCCGGGAAGGTCCCACGACGCTTCCTTCCCAAGCCGAAGCTGAGGCCGGGGAGAGGAAGTACAATCAGGGTCCTAGGAAGGATGAAACCTGGGACTTAGCTGGCTTGGAAAGGGCTGCACCCAGGGATGATGTGCCTCACCCTCTGGGCCTGGCTGGAGCCCGGGGTGCAGGGTCCCCTACCTGCAGCTGGGGAGCATGGAGCCACCAGACTGCACACAAGGTCATGGATGAGCTGGAGATCGTGGCAACAAAGAGGAGCCTGAAGTTGGCCCAGAGATCACAGCCGGGAAGCGATGTGACAATGCGTTCAAGAAAACTGACACCGAGGAGAACACTTGAAACTAGACTTTATGAAAAACAGACAAAGCCAGACTTGCACCTCCAGCCATGCAGGGTAGGACTGGACTGGCCTCTGCAGGGAACAACAGGAACACAGAACAACTGTGGCCAGACATAGGCAGCTCAGGACGGTCCGAGAGACCGAAGCTGGCCCAAGCTACTACACCTACGATGCTGTGCCCCAGTGACACCATGCCCCTGAGCACCTGCTGCATACCCCCTCCTGGCCATGGGCTCTGACTCACTCACAATGCCTGTAGCTGGAGACCCAGCACGGAGACGGTGGCCATAGCCAGGAACCCTCCATGACACAGCGCCACCTGCACCATGGTCCCCAGGCATGGGCTGGGCACAGGGCTCGCTCCAGGGCCTCGCAGGGCCGCTGCTCACTGTCCTCATTTTCCAAAGTTTGCCAGTGCCAGATTTAGAGCAACAGACAATGGCACAACCCAAAGCCAGGTATCCCGGGGCATGAAGCTGATGGCCCCTGGTGTCCAGAAGGCCAGGGCTCACGCCACCTGCCCTGGTCATGAGAAAATCCAAGGGCACGTGAGAAGGCCAAGCTACTGAAGACACATCTGCTCATCTGAAAATGGAACCTGGCCCTGAGGGCTCCTGCTGGGAGCTGGCCCAGGACCTCTAGCGCGGAGCTGCGCTGGGAGACAGGTACGGGCACAGTGGGGCGCGAGGCCCAGACTCACCACCACGTTCAGCAGTCCTCCGTACGGCCCGATGTCCGGCTGCCACAGCCCCAGGATGTGCCTGTACCGGTGCAGCACTGCGGAAGAGAACGCCGTGAGACCGCCTTACCTCTCCCCTCCAGGAAGGGCCAGGGCGGGGGGCAGGAAAGGCTAGAAAGGACCGAATCTCACCCACCAAGTTCTAAGGGACTCCAGGGATGAAAATGTCGTTAGAAAGACAAGTAGGCCATTCCTGAAACCAGCTAACGAGCCCCTCCAGTGACACACGGCCTGGCAGACAGCGGTGAGCTTTCTGTAAAGCAAGGAGTCTCCCAGCCCTGGGGGAGTCAGCCAGGAGTAGATGGGAGAGCGCGGGACGGGGCTTCTCTGCACCGAGATTCCGCAGCTTTGCCAGGGGTGTTGACGAAGCAGCCAGACTTGTCGGCTATTATGAGAGGGTGCCACTCAGAGCTGCGCGACCACAGCAGCCCTGCCGAGACAGGAGCCCACCTGTGTGACAGGCGTGTGACGGAGCCAGCGGCATCTGCTCGGGCCACCGGGAGTCTGTGGGGGCTTCAAGTGGTGCCCCTGCGATGGCTGGCAGGAGGACGAACCAAATGAAGTGGCAGTGGCATTCCCGCGGGGACAGGGGCTCAGCTGAGGCCACAGTGAGGGACCAGGAGCAGAGGCGGAGGCTGGGCTTCTCCAGGCCAGGCCATCACACTCGAGAGGCTCCGAGTTCTCTACCTCAGCTGCGCACAGCCGTGCTCAGGCTGCCGCCTCACCCGCCGGAGTTGCTGTGCAGGCCGAGGGACCACTGCCCCTTCTGCAGCTGGCTGAGACCTACGTCCCACCTCACACTCTGCCCACCTATGGCCACAGCTGTTCATCAGCTGGTCATGACGGTCCCGCCACACCCGCAGTCCCCTCCCACTGTGCACGACCCAACCGCCTGTCTCCCACATGCAGCACCATCGGCCCACGCTGTCCACCCTGGTCTGGGTCTTTCTTGTCCACCAAGAAAAAAGGAGTGTGGGACCAGTAGTTAGCATAATGGCTATGTCACTGGACTCCCATGTAGCCGACCGAGGTTCGAGTCTCAGTGGCTTAAGCTTGGGCATGTGCGTGCATGCCCAAAATACGAGAGGAGAAAGGAGAAGGGATTGGGGCGTGGCCACACCACCACCCTGGGGGGTGATTTCCCCCTTTCTGTCTCTACCCTGGGAGGTGATTTCTCCCTTTCTGTCTCTCTCTTTCTGACAAGCACACGCGCCCTGTAGCAAAAACCTCTCCAAAAAAACTAAATAAGTAAAGGAGTGGGAATACTGGAAAAGAGGGGACACAGGGTGGCCCCCAACACACACACACACACACGCACACACACACGCACACACACACGCACACACACACGCACACACACACGCACACACACACGCACACACACACGCACACACACACGCACACACACACGCACACACACACGCACACAGCAGATCCTGGACCAGGGGCAGGGTGCGTGATGGAAAGAGGCCCAGCAGGAGAAGCCAACACCAGGGCACGATGC